TACAATATCAGTTATATAACTAATCAAAATATGAGCGATTCAGAATATTATACTGCCAATGAAGAAGATATATCAAGTATATATAGTAATAATTCTATTACAGATAATGATTCAAACAATGATATCAATTTTGAGTTTGAATATTTGACAAAACAACAAAAAACTATACAAGAGCTTTTTCAATCATTAGGTTTTATTAGTATAGATGATACACGTCTTCTTTCTGGTGATATTGTAGCAAAAGCATTAGAGAAGTCTCATGATAAAATTATCAAAATTTGCCAAGATGCATTATTGCTCTTTGGTTTTAAGTCCCGAGCTAAAGAAATACCCGATCTCAGATCTACAATAAAACTGATTAATGCAATAGCAGGTAAGTGGTATGGTTATACTATAAAAAGTAGTAGAAAACAGGAAGGACCAAAAAAAACAACAGGTTTGGAAATACACATATTGGATTGATCGATAGCTCTATAGAAAAATCAGCTTTGATAAAAAATAATACAAAAGTCTAATTACATATAATATCATTAGGTAATATCAAAGATATTGCTTATTTTTTGCTGGAGGCAGTCACTATGTGGTTATATAAAAGATAAATCCAAAGAATCATTGCTTTGTAATAATAATTATATAAAAAAGAGTTCTAGAATATAAAACATAGCATATTTTTGATGTTACCCAAAGGCAGAATATTATAAGGAAAGAGGTAAGATAAATTTTTGCTTTTACGTAACATCAGATAAAAGTAATATTATACATAGATAAAATTAACTATGCGAGAAAGAATTCCAGAATCAAAAAATATAGTAAACTTTTATTGATACACAAAGGCAGAATATTATAAGGAAAGAGATAAGATAAATTTTTGCTTTTATATATCACCAAATAGGGATAACAATTCAGGGTTAACTATGGGCAAAGTAAATTGATAACATGACCCAATAACATTTTTTGATAGCATAACCTGATAGCATATACATGATAGCATTATTGATAGCATTTTTTCGTGATATACTTAGCATAGCATTAATCGATAGCATAACCAGATAGCGTGTATATAGCATACGAGATGGCAATTAGATAGCATTAATTGATGCAATTACGCAATGCATATTTGATAGCATTCCCCGATAACATTTATGATGTATGTATCAATAGCAATTACAATCAACTGCGCTTGAATGACTTGAGTTTTATGATATACCCATCATGGAAATTGGTCACAGTTACCAAACCAGTATAACTTATGTTGCATGTGGCTTGATATACAAAATACACCACCTTGGTGCATGTCATAAAAAGCAAAATGCACATCACTTGAGCTGTGACCTAAAATGCAAAACGCACATTATACTGACACATGACTCAGTGGTTCTCAATCGGCAATATTAAATTTAGGTTTCTAAAGGAAATAGACTCAATATAGAAGGAACGCGCAGGGGTCCGTTATCAAGACTATTATAGTCTAATGTGCAGGGGGCCATCATAGCCTAATTCGGGAATTTATTTATAATGGAAATCAATTAGCAAAATTAAGCTGATATGACTTGAATTTTGTGATCGACTGCGCTCGAATGACTTGAGTTTTTTGAACAACCCACCACTCGAATGACTTGAGTTTTTTGGACTATCCATCACTTGAATGACTTGAGTTTTGTAATCGAGACTATTATAGTCTAATCTAAGTCGTTTGGAGTTTATATAAACTCCAAACGACTTGCTAAATTAACTGCTTCATGTAATTTGGCAGTTGGAAAAGGTTCTGAAATATTAGTATCAATGCTTGAAAGATCAATTGTAGGGAAAGTTAATGTGGATTGAAATATTGGGCATGTTGTCTTGTGCTTATTTTTTTCTGAGCTTGAATCTACACCACAGTGTGTGCAAGTTTTAGGGATGGGAAATTTTTCAAATGATTGTTTCCAGTATTTGTCACAGAGTGTTTCAAATCCTTCATCTGATTTATAATATTTGATATCCCAATTTGCCATTTGACGAACTGCATATTGTCTAGTTTTAAGGGAATTTATTGTATATCTATCCCAAGAAGGAGGTGATGTAACAATTTCAAAGTATCTTCTATGGAATTCTTCATATATTTTGCTACGGAGGAATCCAAGTACTTTTTCTTTTTGTGTTGATGGATGATGAACTTTGTAGTATGGGTAAAATTTTGATTCAAACCAGGCATCAAAAAATTCTTTAGAATTTTTTAAGGATGGGGTATTAAATTCCATTTTTTCCAAAGGAGGGAGGTTGAAATATATATTAGTACGAAGATTTGCATGGACAACTGATGTAATATAAGGATCATTTTCATTGTAGTTTTCACGAGGATTGACAGTAAAGTGAAAAGTAATACTTGGTGTGGCTGGTTTAAATTTGCTAATAAGATCATCTAGAGAAAAAGGAGTGTATTTGTTTAGAAGGTATAAGTAGAATCGAGCACAGTTTCTAAATACATTAAGATGGTCATTATGTGGTGAAGGTGGAATTTTAGTGGCAAAGAATTTGACATAGTCAAGTAAATTGCATAAATTTTTTGTAATGAATTTTCTTTTTGCAGATTGAAGAGTGAATAAACTAATATCAATATCATTTTTCCATTCAGTAATCAATTTGTTTGGTAGATTATTTGAAAGCATGTCAATGGTTTTGTCAAAGGTGGTGAAACCTGGTTTAAATGCACGAATTCCTGGAAGTATATAGTTGTAAAAAGAATGGAAGTATTTGTTGTTGTTTGGAAAAGTATATGGCAAAGATTCATTGTGAGGGATGATTGATGAGAAGAGGGGAAGGTTTGGCTTATCTGTTGATCTATTTTTATTTTTTGGTGTAATTGTTTCTGCATATGTTTTTTTTATTTTTTGATCTTGATTATCCATAACAATATCTATATCAGATGAATCCTGTTCATTAGTGTTGTTGGTGTT